GAGATTTGGGGCTGCTTCCCGAGCAAAAGTTCATAGCTGTGATACGAATGTTGGCGTATGGGTCATCTGCTGATCAGGTGGATGAGATTGCCCGGATGGGGAAGTCCACTATTTTGAAGAGCTTGGTTCGATTTTGTGATGCAGTGGAAAATCTGTACACCAAGGACTACCTACGCAGACCTACGCCCAGGGACCTGCAACAGCTTCTACAAAAAGCTGAGTCCCGTGGATTTCCTGGAATAATTGGTAGTATTGACTGCATGCACTGGCAATGGAAAAATTGTTCATTTGCTTGGCAAGGGGATTATGGTAATCGGAAAGGGCAGAAAAGCATCATCCTCGAAGCAGTTGCCGGTTTTGATACCTGGGTTTGACACGCCTTCTTTGGAGTTGCCGGCTCTCAAAATGATTTGAACGTCCTGGGTCAATCCCCGGTGTTCAATGATATTTTGAGAGGTGAATGCCCAAATATCACATATCAAGTCAATAATACCGTGTATCAGAACGGGTATTATCTAGCTGATGGTATCTACCCGAGATGGACAACATTTGTGAAATCAATTCCACATCCCCGATCCGAGAAGGAAAATTTTTTTGCTGCCTATCAAGAGGGGTACAGAAAAGATGTGAAGAGGTGCTTTGGTATCCTTCAAGCTCGGTGGGCTATTATCAGGGGCGCGGCGCGTCTATTTGACGAGGAGGTGCTCAGAAGTATAATGATGACTTGTATCATCCTCCACAACATGATTGTGGAAGATGAGTATGATTATGATGTTGAGGAAGTGTATGAGCCAGATCCCATGAACACGACCTTAACACGAATTTATGAAAAACCTATGGGGCCAAATGGAGAACCAGTGCAGCATGATCCGTTAGTTAGAGACGGTACTTTCATGCATCGCATGATTGAGCGCTACACGGAGATGCAATCGTCGTATATTCATGAACACCGTCAAGTTGATTTATTTTGTTGAATATTTTCTTCATTCACTACAAGAAAATCAATACAACTCATAAAATAAAATACATGAATTACCACTAATTTTTTAAATAAAAAAAAATTACAATGAAATGAAAGGCAAGCAAACTAATTTAATGGTACAATGAAATGAAAGGCAAACAAACTAATTTAATGGTACAATGAAATGAAAGGCAAGCAAACTAACTTAATTGTTTTGATCATTTAACCAATCCGTGTTGCTAGGTCCATCGTCACGAAAAAGTCTTCGTCTCATAACATCCATTCGTTCTAGCTTCTAATATTGTTTCGTTTCAGGGGACATATGAGTTGTATCCATGGCCATTGTTTCCCGATCCTTATTTTCAATCTTTTCTTGGCGTGCATACTCAATTTCTTGGCGTGCATACTCCCTTTGTTGGCGTACATACTCCCTTTCTTTTGCATTTTCTACATCAATTGCCCTATCGTGCTCTTGTTGTTTCAT